CAACATAGCTCCTAGGTTCATTCGGATACTCGAACCCCTCCACCATGTTCAGGTTGCGGTTCAAGGAGGGTTGTTTTTAATGTATTACCCTGTATGCATGTGTGGCAAAATGTGTTAGATATACTTTCTCGTGCTCACGAGATACGTTTCTTTTTTTTCTTTTCCCATGTCACTTTAGGGGCTCCGTACAAATGCCACGTATTTGTGATGTAAAAAAAGACACAAAGATAAATAATTTCACAACTTTTTCCACTTTTAATGTGACCCATAAGATGTAATAGGCAATTGAAAAACAAACTGAAATCTTCATGAGGGAAAAATAAAAAATAAAAACTTAAAATGACCTTGATGCATAAATATAAACACCCCCTTATAACTGGGGGCATGGCTGTGTTCGGATTTACCAATTACATTGAAACTCATGTTAAATGGAGTCAGCACACACCTGTCACCATTTAAAGTGTCTCTCTATGTATGTGCGGAAAAATGTCTTAGATATACTTTCTCGTGCGCACGAGAAAGTATCTTTTTTTTTTTTTTCATCATGTCCCTTTAGGGGCTCCGTACATTTGTACAAGAGTGTGTAGACTTTTTATATCCACTGTATACATACATGCACGCACAGAGAAAAAGAAATTAAATGACAAACATACTTTAAAACTAAGTGAGTAACCTACTTATGGGAATCAGATTCCCCGCACAACTAAGGGGTGTCCAAGTACCATCAGTAGTAGGCATACCGTAGTTTGAAAACCACTAATTTAGCAAATATCTGTTCTTTTTTTTTTCTATGCTAAGGTGTTGTCGATTTTTTGTGATCTAACATGATTACTCACTGCATCAAAAGGGGTTAAATAAGCAGCTGGAATATATTAAGCAGTAATTACCTAATGGAGGGTTTTTCCTGTTTGCTCAGTTAATTTCCAGCGATGACTTTTCTTGGACAGGTACTGCATCTCAATAATGGATAGTCATACAATCATTAATGGGGAGGACAGATTGTGATGCATAATCTCTCTCGTTTATTGGGTGTATTGTGATAACTTACGCTGTACTACAGCAGCTGTGCCCTCTGTGTTATACCTCATGTTCACCTACATGTACTGCACACAAGCAGTCTTTTGCATGTCACGCTAAAGGAGTGGTGGAGTGAAGAAGACAATCATATGCAATCATAAGTCAAAATGCATTGTTCTCGAGGTATTGTGTGTCTAAATCAGGATGGCATACACCAGGCATGCCCAAACTGTTCCTCAAAGGGCCATGTGGCTGCAGGTTTTTGTTCCAACCAAACAAGAGCACATAGTTTGACCAATCAGCTGTCTGAAGACTCAGACCAGTTGATTAAACCTGTCAACTCAGGTGTGTTAGATTTCAGTGGTTTTCACCTTTGGTTGGGTCTGCAGCAGGAAGATTATAAGACACCAAATGGCTTTCCCGAGCACACAGTCACATAGCCCCACACATTCAAAGAGAATTTCCCCAAATTCTCTTCACACCAACTTTCTAAAAACACCTCTACTCCCTGGGAACAATGGGAGATCTTCACACCAACTTTCTA